AACACTCTTTTTCCCATTGTAATTCTTCTCTTAGCCGCATTGCCACACAGCTAAAAGCCCTACCATAAATTTCCCTTCTCCTATCATAATAATGCTTTTATTGGTAACAGCATATTTCACGCACTGACCTGTTATAAGTTATTCTGGCAAAGCAAACGAACCATTTTTCTGAGAAGGCGGTGGTGGAAAAAAAATACTCTACTAAATATTTCCCAATGCACAGCCAGGCAGATTAAATGGATCCGCATCCCCCAAGCTTTTCTAAGGGGTCTGCTCAACAGCAAGCAAGAATTCCAGGGCTTAGTTCCTACTGTATCTGATGGCAGGGAAGAGAACATTCAGCAGATGCACAGGAGCTGTCATGGCTGGATGCTTGTAGTGAGTTATGCTGAACAAAGCAAAGGGGTACATGTGTGCTATAACATGGAGCTATGAGGAGGTGCTTGAGCCGGCAAGAATGCTGGAAGCAGCACAGCTTGACTAGTGTGGCACGGGCTCATGTCTCCCTGTTTCTCCCCAGAGTGGTGGTGGTGAGGTGGTGGTAAGGCATCTTCTTCTGTGAGCATACTCAGAGAGAGAAACAATCTTGCTCTGGAAAGAGCCTGCAGGATGTAATCTGCCCTCCAGCAGCCATTGCTCTGATTGAAATGACTCCTTCTGTGCCCCAAAATTACCTTTCCCTAATATCTGAGCCAGAGCTATATTTTTTAATTTTAATTTTTATTTTAAACTTTTTTTTTTTTTTTATTTTAAACTTTTTTACTTGCAGAATGCCTTTTCTGAGCTCTTTCTCAAAGAGCTCTGCCTCTGGCTCCCACCTGGAAGCACTGGTAGTGGGAAATGCTCTTTCCAGCACACTCTGTGTGGAGCTGCTCAGGGGCTCCTTGTCACAGGACTGGGCTCATGCTTGGCTTTTGGGAAGGAGAGAGCAGCAAGCTGGGCAAGGTGGGAGCCTTGCACACATGAAAGGTGGCTTCAGCCCAGCAGGTTAAACATGCACTTCCCCACACTGCACTTGCCTGTCCTCTTTCCTTCACCTCTTTCTATACATTTTTTTCCTTCTTACATCCTTCAAGGGGAGCTGTTTGAGCTGCAAAAATCTGCTAAAAATCAACCTCTGTGCACTCCTGATTTAAATACAGGCACACTGATTAACTTCTAGCTCCACTTCCCCTTTGGCTCCTCTCAAATTAGCCTCTAATTATCTCAGTTGTAATCACCTGGTGTGATACAGTTAAAGTAATAATGATTCTTTTTGATAGTACAATGTTTTCTCTATGAAAGTTGTAGCTAATAAAGACAGAATGCCAAGCTGCTTATGGGAAACAGATTTTTACAGATCCTAAACAAATGCCCTGCATAGTTCATGTACAGATAATAAAAGAACAAAATAACCCTCCCAAGGAAAATTTATATCTTGATTAAAAAAAATATCTATCTGTATATTTATGTTCCAAAAGACTGTTTTTAAAGGCCCAGTAACTAATGTCAGTGCTTGAGGCCAAATTTGGGGACTTGGGATTCCTGCTCAGGTTTCTGCACCTCTGTGGCACCAGCAGCTGGGCTGTAGCTCTGACCATGAAACTCTTCTGCTGTGCACTGCTGGGTGAGCAGTTTAGCACCTCCCCATGCCTTGTTCCATGCAATATCCAGACAAGGTGTTTTTCCCTGGGGCACTCAGCCTGGGAGGTGTTTTTAAGCATGCCTATCGTGTTGCGTGTTCACAGGAGCATTTTGCTTTCAGGAAGGAAACCAGCATTCCTCAAAGCCAAATGAAGCTGTAGCCACAGGGAAAAGGGGGTGTTGGGGCACAGCTTGTGGAGGGGGACTCGCAGCCCCTTTCTTATGAAACTGTGCTACATCACGTAAAATAAATCACATTGCACTGACTGGGGTATAATGTTGACTTGACACCAAGTGTCTAGGGCATTCTGCTGGGAAAATATAAGTGCATGTGGGGAGACAGCCTGGGTTGCAGTCTGTGCATGAAGGAGGGATTATGTGCTTTACATTGAAGCAGCTGTTTGTTAGGGCACCTAAGCAGAGCACAGAGACTCTAGGTTTCTTTCTCTTCTCTAGGTTTCCTTCTTTTTCCTGGCCTCAATTGTTACAGTGTGTGTTTCTGCCTCCTTTCTGTTTCTCAAAGAGCCTTTAACTCACTTTTTAAAAGTTGTCAATTTTTTGTTTGGTTGTTGGTTTTTGATCTATTCAGCTGTAAATCTGTCTTGGATGCAGGAGCTGTGCTTGCTGCTTTCACTCCAGCTATACTCAGATAACATCAGCAATGTGATTTTAAAAAAAAAGGATTAGGAGGTCAAGCAATCAAATGGTGGCTTGTTTGTAGACTCTCTTCTTCTTCTCTCTTTCTGTGCTTGAAGCACTTAATCCCCTCTAGGCTTTTCATAGCCATATGCAAAGAGGGGCATGTGGAGGTGTGTGTGTGAAGTTTATGTTAATATACGCTGGGTGTTGCATGATCTACAGCGGTGTGTTCTCTTGCTGTAATAATACCAGCATGTTACTGGAAGTCTTTGGACAAATCCGTTATTAGAGTTAACTGTGGCCATGCAGCAGCTTTGGGCTAGGCAATTGCTCTGCATTCATTGTCATATCTTTGACCTCCCTTCCCAATGCAGGGAGCTGTGAAGGCTGGGGTAAAAGGGTTGCCACAGGCAGGAATTTTCTTACAAGCAGAAAATGCTTGTATAAATCTTCTGAAGAGCAAGCAGGAAGGGAAGCTGGTTTTGTTAGTTACTGTCTTGGTGGTATAAATACTGTACAAATTAAAATAAAAAGAGGCCTTGAATGCTGGGGTCTATACTATGTGATTACTGATGTAATTAACATACATCACACACAGACTCATGATTATTAAAACCAGTTGGCACATTTGGACCATATTTAGTGTATCCCCAGGTTTACAGATAACTATAGCACATCTAACCAAAGTATGTTCACTGCTACTTTAATGTTACAAATCAGTGGTTAGAATAGATTTGTTCCTGAGCACCTTTTAAACCAGAAGAATTGATATTTCTGGTATCTTTAACCAAGAGAAACTCTTTCCAGTTTAACATCTAGATGGAAAAATGGACAACCTAATTAGACTAAGATTTTTCAAGAGCAGAGAAAGCATTTCTCACTTTTTTTTTGCATACTCAGATACCAAACTTGTGAGGTTTACGTAAAACATTTAGGAAAGAAACAGCCATTATAAGAAATGTGCTATTAGATCTACACTAACATAGCTAATTAGCTCCTAGGTTCAACCTGAAAAAATGAATAAAGTGCTGCAGTGTGCAGCTTTGTATTACTCAGTCTTTTTCTACTCTTGAGCAAACTTATTCTGCATGCCAAAGGCAAGAGCATTAATTGAGTACAGAACCTGTTTATAAATCCAGTGCAGCTCATGGCTTGACAGGTGCCACCACTGTTCATTCTCACCTTGCCACTGTTCATAATTAACCTTCTGCAGCTTGAAATTTTCCATGAAATGAACAATGGGCCCTGGTTTGGGTGGGGGTGCTCTGGCCTAAATTGAAGTGGCCAAGCTTCTACTCCATCTCAAAGTTCTTACCTGGCCATGTGGGCAAAGAGGGAATGAGACAAAAGAGTCATAGGATCGGTCTTCTAGGTAAGTAGCATTGTGGGCAAGAGGAGGATGCAAGACTTGTGAGTTTTCATAGATTATTCCTTATGGCAATTTTGGTACAAGCTTTGTTGCTCCCTAACAGAGGCGTACAGTGTACCATCAAAGAGGAGACTGGCTGCTGGGTACAGTTTACCTGCATAGGTGTGCACTAGCACATGCAGAATGAAGATGGGCTTCACATATGAATCTGTTCTCCTTCTCCTTCCAAATGTGGGACCAATCAAGTGCCTGATGGAGTCAGTGGGGCCCTCCCTATTGACCTCAGTGAACAAAGCTTGGTGTTGACCTAGGGAGGAAGAGGTCCTTCCCCAGTACCTCCCTCATGCCATGTGCTTACAGTGCTCCCCTTCTACTTGCTGGGTTTCTCTGTTACCTGATTTAGCTCACTAAATTGGCCCAAAAAAATAGGAAAATAAGAAGTAGAAACCTTGTGTTGGTTTCTGTCATCTGATGCGTGTCAGTGGAGGGAAGAAGCAGTGGGGCAGCCTGGGATGGGGCAAGGCTGGTGCTGGGGCAAAAGCAGCTAAATGGGGGGGAAGGAGAGCAGCAGCCCTGCCTTGGTCAGCGAGCTGCCAGACTGTCGGGGCTACATGTGAAACCACAGCTGAATTCTTCATGTCAATGTCTTTATTTTGGTTATTGTTTGAAGGAGTCTCCTTATATTCAGTTTCCAATCAAAACATCATGTACTCCCTAAAATCTGAGCTTGGATATAAACTTGTTGCACTACAGGGACTCAAGTCTACCAGTCATATAACATAGATGAATGCCTTTGAAAAACAAATCCTTGCTCAAAGTTACACTCCATTTGTTTTTTAAATTTTCATTTTCCATTTAAGTGGCTGTTTCATTGCTATGAGAAGCATTAAGAGCTGTTCATGCTTTTTTTCTTGTGGCTCTTTTAAAACTGAACTTCCCTTGTTATTGATGCCCTGCCAGTGGATATTCTCACTTATCTGATGGGTATTAATAACTTGAATCCAAGATTACCTGTGAAGGGGCTTGGTTTCTTCTTGCAGAAATTTATTCTTTGTTATTTTAACTAGTTGAATGTTTTAATTGTAAAGCACTGTTTCTTTCTCACTATATTGTAATTGCATATTAAGTTAAGGCAGAGAATTTTTCTTCTGTTATGTCTTTTTGTCAGCCTGCGGTTAATTCAGTATTGACTTGTAAAAATAACATCAATGAAATTATAGATGTAGCTACACTGAAAGAAAGTAAAACAAAGGTGCAAAATGTAGGCAGGTAAAAAAGCCCATTTCAGCATGAGGAGAAATGAGTGCAATTACCTATTCTAAGAAGATGATAGGCTATGCATGCTAACAAGCCACTTATTTCTACACAGGTGCTGTCTTTGGTCAAAAAGACTGAAGAGGTTACTTTTCTGCTCCAACTTCCTCCTGTGAACATTTAACCAAGGTAAGAAAGTCACAGACTCTGGGATACACTTCTGTTTGAGTAGATCTTTCTTCTACTAATGAATCATCATCTCACATAATAGTGAACCCTCAGAATCATCAGATGAGAGTTTTGAAGCTTGATAAGAATATTTTTCATTCCAGCATGGGCTTCTTTCAGAACAAAACAATACTTGTGGGAAAAGCTGGGCTTTTCCAACACTTTACCTCCTGGAAATGTCAGTGATAGTTTGCTCTGAAATGGTTATTGGAACTTATTCAAAGCATGTTATCAAAATGTTTTGTCTAAAGAAAGCAAACCATAACCACTTTAGATAAAAGATCATTTCAAAGCATGACTTGACAAACACACAAACCTCAAACTTCAGAAAACAGGAAAGAAATTAACATTCCAAATTTTCCCCAACAAAGCCTTTTTTAAAAAGCTAATCATCACCACCTGTCAGCTCATTAATCTCCTTAACCAGACAGGCAAAGCATTATCTCTGGAAAGAGTTTCACCTCAGCTGTTTCTCTGGATTCGTTCATTGCCCCTCGATACCATCAGGTTTTGAGGGCAGCTCTGCCCACATCTGCTCTTCTTGGGTATTCAAATCTCCCAACAAGGTCTCCCATGTTGCTTGGTCTCTGTGTCTGCAACTTCCGGGTATGGATGTGTCAAGTTCCTCATCATCTTTGTGCCTCTTTCGGCAAGCCAGAGATGAATCATTCAGAGTACTTTTATTCATTGCTAAGTGCATTCCTTCCACAAGATTTTACCAGGTTCCCATGACAAATGACTCTGTAAGCACAAGTTTTTTGCTTTTTCCCTTATTTACATTTTCCCTCTACCAAGACCAGCAGGAATTCACTGGTAGTATAGCTGAGTGCTTCTTACGAGCTGTTTAAAAATTAAAAATTAAAACCACCACACATTTCTTAGTATTCAGTCCCACCCCCCATGAGTCAAAACCTATTGGCTGCACAGCCAGCTGCAAGAAAACATTGCTGCATCTTTTCAGAGGCATGAGGGCCAACGTAGTTTTAAGGAGTACAGAGTGTTAATGCATTCTGGAGAGCCCTGCAGAAAGTAAGCAAGCATTCATATGTCAGGATAGGACAATGGGTTTTTTTGTAAAGAAAATGTTAATGTATGCTTAAGATCTTCCAAGGTATCGCACAGGTCACTATTACATCATTGATGATTTGCATTTTCTGCTCTGTATCATTTTATATTCCTGGCTTAAGAAAGCAAGCTAAAGCTAAATGCTGGGTGTGCTCAGACGGTGTACATTCAGTTTCTAATAGCTTAATGACCACTTTCTTCTATCTCGTTTATCATTGTTATTGTGTGTCTGTTAACAAAAAACTGTTCAGCAGAATCACAGAAGAGACTGCCTGAAGTTTTACTACCGTATTTGTGAGAAGGAAAAGGATGGGACAAAGAGGAATAATGTTAAGAAGTGAGAATAAACACAGGCTTTGAAACTTAATTCTTGGCTGTCATCATCCTAATTAGCAATGGGTCCATTTGATGTCTCAGTTCAGGGAGTGTGAATAGCGCTGCTTTGTGTCTGTCATGGTGATCAATGTCTTTTTTGGTAAAAACCCAGTAACACGTACAGAGTCGTACACTAAATCTGTAGAGTGTGCAGTCCCAGAGCTATTATGTGACATTGACCCACTTACATCAGTGGTGATGTCCTCTGTTGGGTTGCTGAAAAAGCAGACTGATAGGGGTTAACAGACGTTAGGGGCGTCTGCTGAACCAGAATATTCAAGTAACTGGATAGAAACAATAGTCCTATGAATATACATTAAATTAGTAATAGTTGTTTAACTTCTATTTCCTACCCATTTTGGATTGTTCTCATCATGGAAACCAGCTTCTCTGCACATTCCACAAAGCAGCAGGAATCGAGGTACAATAAAATCTCAGCTAAGTGCAGCATATTCATCATGTAATATCTCTGATCCTCTTCTGGAACTGGTAAGAGAAATGGGGCATATCTCATTGAATCAAAAATGTGGTTATGCTCATATGACATGCACAATGAAAGGCAGATTTTAAAGCAAATCAGTAAATTCAGATTAATTTTAGTGGGCTTTTGACCAGCGCAAAGTTGAAAATTGTGGCTTTGAGGAATCCAATGTCTACATTTTTATTTCACTTTTAAACAATTCCAAGAATCCCAGTGTTCGTTTCTTATATTACAGCACCCTTTCTCAGGAGTGTTTTCTCATGCCATGCAAGCTACAAGGTGACTGAAGTTTCAGAAGTGGATGAAAGGGGGCATCATCCACCTTTTTTCCTAAAGGAGGCTTTTCTTCAGCTGACCTTGTCTTGAAGAAATATTCACCTCAGGATTGTTTGTGATTGTAGAGCAGAGCAATCATAATTTATGTGACAGCTGATATTAAAATGCTGTGCAATATCTTAATTTTTTAATTATTCATTAAATACATTAGTATATGATTAAATACATAATTGAAAACTTGCAAGGTCTAGTAGATAATTCTCTGTCAGACAATACAGGATACTTTACACCAACTTGATGAGAATGTTTTGGTGTAGGTTTCATTTGAGAAACATAGCACTCAAACAACTGGCAAGTGATGCTGGATATTGGTTGCAGTAAGAAAAAGTTGCAGAATTATCATTTAGAAGGCATCACCAACACATTCTTCTCTTCTGGCATGACCTATAATTTACAGTAATTTATGGTTCTTGTGAGACGTTCACACACTGACACTGAATATAATTCCATGCAGTGTTAATGAAAGTCAGTGCTTATGAAGTTACATGGTTATGAAATTATGGAAATACTGAATTATTATTATGGAGTTATGGAATTAATAGCACTTAAGAATAGCATTGAACAAGAAAATAGCTGTAACACTCAGCTCTTACACATTTCAATGTATAGTTGGCATCCATACCCTCTGTTTTCAGAAATTAGTGAGGAATTGGGTAGTCAAGATTCCACCATCTCTCTGTAGGAAAAGTCAAATACAGATTTTGATTTGACTGAGTCCTAGTGCAGTAACCACTGCAGAGTACTGTTTCTCATTGGATTTAAGGAAGGCTTGTGAGTTGCGTTTTTTTCATCACTCAAGGATAATTTCTGAACTTTCTCTGCATGGTTGAAGAAGATGTACATAAAAGGGTGCAAGTTCGGACTGGTAGCGAAGATCTTTACTGGTTTCTTTGCATATAAAGGATGCATGCATAGATTTCTATGTTACTGCAGTGTGCCAGTAACTCTTCCTCAGAAAAGACACAGTTTGGCTTCCTGCACAATCTTTCTTAGGCTTTGGCATGTGTGGTTTCACAGAACTGTGCCTAAGTGACAGACTGGGGGACAGCATTTTGGTCTGCATTTGGCAATGGACTTGCTGGAGCCTAGAGATGATGGTGCTGCTGGAGCAGCACTCTTCTGAGAACAGAGTTATGTTTGGTGTGCTTTGTTGTTTTCATCCCATTCTGTGCAGTACAAGCATGCTAATTGTAAGGTATGTATCTCTGGTTGAAGGTGAAGATAAGCCTTGCTGGTTGTCCTTTTTATTTCCTTGTTTGGAAGTAGGGGTGCTGTGTACAGCCGTCAATGGTTCCACTGATATATGCTCCAGTGTATAGTATGTACTCTGAAAGGTTCACTAGAGCTGAAATAAGCTCCTGAAGTTAGCTGCTGTGAGCTTGAGGATCCTGCCCTATCTGCTGCTGCTCAGCAGAGCTGAGTTGGCAGACTGGATGCACATTTTTTTAAGACCAGTAACATTTGGCCTATCTTTGCAAATTATTGTGAAGAAACCCACACTTTAACACTGCAAGATACTTGCTTCTTATTTTCACTTTGATCTTTGGTGAATCCAGTCACTGCAGCTTAGTCTCACTGTCACTTTTCATAGGGTTGGGGCAAAGTGTGATTTTTCTGTACAGGCAAAGGAGTTCATGTGGTTTACTTTTGCTTATTATTTCACCAGTTCTACTTAATAAGTTAATCATGATTGAAAATTCAGCAATGAGACACATAGAAAATCTTGTTCTCTGTTAAATAGTTCAGCAAATACATTACTTGCCATCTCACTCAATGTTATACAGTCCTCTTTTATCAGCAAGTCTTTTCTGTACCAATGTTGTAGATTAGGAAACCTGTTTCACATGTGCTACAACAGTGTTTCAGTTTCAGAAGGAAGAAAAGTTCAGAAAGCCTTTCACATTTTATGCCTAAGAAAGGAAGTCACCATGTTGTGCTGACTAACTCCAACCTATAAAGTTTTTGTTTGTAAAGGTTTATGTGATAAACTGTTTTCCTGTGAATTCAGTAAATGACTGTATAACTTCCAGACAGCTCTCTCAACTCTCATCATGCATGTTTATAACTTACTTTTCTTGTATGCTGAATTTTTATGTTAAACTCCCCTGAAAAGTCTTGGCCTCAGACCAGTAAGGCAAGGTGGAAAGCAAGAGGGTCTTCAGAGCCTTACTGGGACTTAGCTGTGTTCTCCTTATGAGCCAGAGGAAGATCTCTCAGTGTATAAAGGACAAAACAGTGTATAGTCTTAATTTCTGTTGCTGCTTCTTCATTGCAACACAAACTCATTCCTGGACATTAACATTCTTCCCTCACTCTGCTCAGTGCTGTGGCTAATAACTATTTATGGAACAACCCAGGCTGAATCTTCTGCTTGACTGCTGGTGGCCTTAAAATGAAAGATATATTAGCAAGCTGATGATATGATTGTCTGCGCGCTGGTAAGTATGGTTAGCCATGTACTTTTATAGCTTGGTCAGGAACAGTTTAAAAACTATTTTGGCAGATCTCTGGGTGCCATTATGGACTTACTTAACTCCTTTTCCTGTTTCAGACCATTTAGTTTGAAATCCCCCATGTGACGTTTGTTAAGCAGGATATTTGTATCTATAGTATCAGGGGCAAATGAAAATTAGAATAATGAGAGTAGGATAAAAAGTTCTATAATTTTCTGTTCATACATTTTAATTTTTATTGTGGTAATGAAATGCTTAATAGAGTACTCTTCAGCTGGTGGAATGTATCTTGAGAAGGTACAATTAGCTCATATTTTAGAAAACTAATTATAATAAAAGGATACATAGTTTTATGACTTGGTAGCAAATTGGCAATATCACCTGCATCCTTAGTGAAGCTAAAATAATGTAACTAATGAGATAATGTGGGATAACATATGGGAGTAAATAATAAGGTGTTGGCCAGGTGAAGAAATGCTTTAATTTAAATAGAAAATATAGTTATAGGTCTAATAGCACTACAGTTCTGACGCAGGCTCATGAAAGCACGGAAAATGAGAGTTAAAGTTGTCTCCCTATGCTTAATATGCTCTGACACTTTTCCAGCACATACTTTATTGTGTGAGCTCTCCCAGTGATTTTGGAACATTAGAAGCATTTTGGACCTCCATAGGGGTTTGACAGTGAATTTTTTCCCCATAGACTGTCTAGCAAGGACAAAAGTCCAGAGAACTGGGAGGGAGAAAAATCTTCAGTTCCATTTTTGGGCTGTTAAACGCAAATAACCTTTCCCTGCAGCCTGCCCCCTCATATTAGGGCATAGCTAAAATATTTTGTTTAAAAATTTGGACTGTGGTTAGAGTTTGAGCAGAAGATCTTCTTTTCATGTCCCCAGAAAATACTTTAGTTGCAGAGAAAGTTTCATCCACCCCTTCTGCATAGGCAGTTAGACAAACCTGTGGTCAAAGCTCTGTTCTTGCTGACCCGCATTAAAAACTTTCCCCTGACACTGGTAAAATGGGAAGATGAACGCAAGCCTTCTCTACTGTACTGAACTCTATTTCTCTACTGTACTGTACTGGCTGGTACCCTGGTGCTGAGCTATTCTGTCATGATACCATGAAAAATGTGGTTTCCTTCTCCTGTAGGACAAAAGCAACATTCACAGCTTTAACAGCTGACATAAAATGGCTGGTTGGAGCTTTTTGCAGTAATGGGATTGGAAGATGAAGATTTCAGTCTCAGCACTTACACGCTTCTCCTTGCTGTGGTATCTAAGCCTCTTGTATCCCAATGAACTAGTTTTATAGTTGCCTGTTTTACAAATGGGAATGTGAAAGCAAAAAAATGTGATGCAGAGATGGAAGTTGATTCCTCTTTGTGAAAGTACCTCATCCAGTGCAGTGCTCCCAGGATTTCTCTTCTTGTGGCTACAGACTTTCTGCATACAGCCAAAAGGGTTACTAATTCATCCAGCATTTCCTTTAGGTTGCCATTTTGTTGCTGCATGCTTTATGCGCCCAGTTTTTCCATTGATATGAATACAAATAAAAATAAAACCCCAATTCCTTCAGCTGAATCAAGAGTAATTGCTATAAACCAATCTCTCTGGCATCACTGGCTGTTCTGTGCAGATCGGAGTCCATATCTCTAGTTTAGCTTTTAACTGCACTCTGAAAACAAATTCTTTAATTTTCAATTTTCT